AAAATGTGAAATATGTAGTTGTTTGATTTTTATTATAGACATTATCGTTGATTCTTTTGTTGTTAATTTTTCTGGTCAATAATATCATTTTATTAATTATGTGAATTTCAAAAATTTAGTTTTACCATTTAATTATTTTATATATGTAAATGTGTCAAGTCAAATTGTATAATAATTTAATATATTAGAGTTAAAAAATGTTAAATTTGGCTTATCCGAATATTTTAAGTATTATTTAGAATACAAATAAGTTACTTAATATTTTAAAATATTAAAATATAAAATCATAAATTTTATAAATGAAACGCAAATATTTAAAAAATTTATTGCTTTCGAATTAAAATTTTTTTTTATTACTTTGAAATTGTCTTGTATTAAAAAAAAATTAGTCATTATATGTGTTAATATAAACTCGGGAAGTTATTTATATATGTACACGTGTCAAATATAAAAATATAATAATTTAATACATTATAGTTAAAAACAAAACATTTTAATTTTGGATTGTCCAAATACCTTAAATAAAATTTAGAATACAATAAATTATTTAATATTTTAAAACATTAAAATATAGAATCATAAATTCTATAAATAAAATGCGGATTTTAAAAAATTGTTGATTTCAAATAAAAAATAGTTTTATTACTTTCAAATTGTCTTGCGTAAAAAAAAAGCATAACGAATTTTATAGAAACCTGCCGACAATTCATAGAGATGTGCCTGTTATCTTGTTAGTAGCAAACCAATTTTACAGAATTATTTGGTTCTAGCTCTTCTTACAATGCATAACTTTATTTCATTAATTGTATATATCAAAATCCCCATGTTTAACGTGCTAAATAACAATCTAAAACCCAAAATCATATACTTGTAAAAAAAAAAATTCACGCATTATGCAATGATTAGATGACACGAGAAAAATAAAATAAAAATCATATTTGATGAATTAGTTGCATGTTGTTTTTTTTTGTTTTTGCTAAACAAGAATTAGTTGCATAGTTTTC